GAGTTTGATCCCCGCCTGCCCCGGAGGAGATCCACATGGCCCAGCAGACCTCCCCTGACCCGCCCACTGCCCCCCTCAGCAGTGTACTTCCTCTATCTGCCTGTTCTGCTCCCCACTCTCTCTGGTGAATCCTCTCACCCTCCACATCTCTGGCCTGTACCCCAGTTCTGTATGAGGATATAAATAAATCTTTAAAAAAAAATTAAAAAAAATAAAAAAAATTAAAAAAAAATTAAAACTACTATTTTTAAAACCAATTAAGATATTTTAATATATAAAATACCTGTTCACTGAATATTTCAGTAAATCCTACTAAACCTTGTGGGTCAGACTCTGCATTTGGATGTTAATGTATCATATGTTCTTAAATGATATTTGATATAATCAATATAGACCTGGGCTCAAATGCTACCTCTGTCTATATTTTATTGGTATGGAATTTTAAATTTTAGTCTCCTCACCTATAAAAGTAGTATTAAAAAAACTATGTTCCAATGAATTATAAAGATAAATTATGATTATATAGTAAAATGCTTAGCATAGTGTCAGGCATATAGTACATATACAATAAATGATTGTATTCTAAGCTAAGTCATAAGCTATTTCAAAAAATGGATTTTTATATTCTAAAACTGTACGACTAGCTACATCAGTGACTGAGCACTTGGACTGTGGCTAGTCTGCACTGGGAGTGGAGAGTGTGATGAAGACTTAATTGAGAAAAAGTAAGCTAGCTCATTAATAATTTTATATTAATTATAAGTTTATATTTTAGGTATCCTGGGTCAAATCAGGCATATCCTAAATTAATTTCACCCATTTCTTTGTACTTTTTGAAAGGTAGGTACTACAAATGTTAAATCTTATTGCATTAAAAATAGTGTATTACATTATAATTTCATTGGGCAATGCTGATGTAAAGTCACTGGTGAAGGTCAGAATTAGGTATAAAGATGATCAACAAATTTCTGACTGAATGATATGGTTAAATCTCTTCAGCTGACTCACTACATTGATGCAATTTAAAGCATAAGGGACTATATTTTTAAAATGTACATTTACATCTAGACAGGTTTACAGAGTAGAGTTATTATGAGAGAATCTCATATACCATATTCATAGTCACTGTTAAGTTTCGGTAATTTTCTGCTGCAAAGCTGTGACTCAAAGCATTGAAGCAAATCTCTTCAAACACAGTCTCAGTAAAATTTTTACAACTAAGAATGTGAGAGACTTTTCAAGGGCAAGAAACCCAACTGCAGAAATTAACCTTGGCAAATGACAGTGAATCACAAATTGTCAGCAGGCCCAACTGTGTTTCAAACTTAATAAGCAAATCAGGACCACTGATTATCTTTGGCTCCTGGATTTTGCTGCTCTTCCTAACATATCTAACCCAAAGAATTTCAGAAAGCAAAAGATGAAGGCAGAGGCTATGGGACATTCCCGTCTTTATAAGACATACTGGCTCACTCCAAAGACTATTTGATCTTCCACAATATTCCTTAAGCATAGAGCAAATAAATCTCTCTGATAATTTCCAATACTGGCTTTATGGCACTTTCTAGAGTACTTAAAGTTAGGTATTACCAATAGGGTATTGAAAAGTTTTTCAACATATAATATTGTTCATTGGTTTTAACAGAGGTAGTCATCATTTAATAAATATAAGGGCCTCCCCTGGTGGTGCAGCGGGTTAAAGCACAGCACTGAGAATCTAAAGCCGCTTCCTCATGAGTTCGATTCCCGCCTGCCCCGGAGGTGACCACATGGCATGGCAGACCTCTCCTGACCCGCCCGCTGCTCCCCTCAGCAGTGTACTTCGTTGATCTGCCTGTTCTGCTCCCCACTCTGTCTCTGGTGAAGCCTCTCACCGCCCCTCAGCCTCTGGCCTGTACCCCAGCTCTGTATGAACAAATAAATATATCTTTAAAAAAAATAAATAATACTTACGGGTTTGTGTTTTGTTCTGGGGTGCTTTTTAGTCCCTGAAGACTGCAAGAATATAAATAATACAGACATTTTGTGATCTATTTTCTTCTGCCTTCCCATATACTTCTTCTCTACAGGAAGCCCCGTTGGAGACTGGCTTTAAGTCAGTCAAAGTCTAGGATGGAGAGACAATTGATACAGAGGAAATGTGTGCAAAAAATGGAAGCCACACTGGCCCTCCCTGGTGGCACAGTGGTTTAAAGTACAGCACTGCAAGCTGGCCACAGCAGCTTCAGTGCCACTTTGATCTTCGGCCCTGGAGGTGACCCACATAGAACAGCAGACCACTTCTGTCCTGCCTGCTGCTCCCCTCAGCAGTGTACTTTGTGATCTGTCTGTTCTGCTCCCTGCTTTGTCTCCAGTGAATCCTTTTACCCCACAGCTCTGGCCTATGCCCCTTTTTATATATGCATAAATAAATAAAAACAAAGTGCTAAAAAAATAGTTTCCTACAATGACTCTTGAGTGAGTTAAATGTCACATTCTTTCTGAATGTCCAGTTGCCTCTTCTCTTGCATACTTGATGAGAGACTGGAGTCGGGTCTTCCCTGGTGGCACAATCGGTAAGGAGGTAGCACTGCAAAGCTGACTACAGCTGCTTCACCCCGAGTTCTATCCCCGGCCCTGGACGTGATCAACGTGGCAGACCTCTCCAGTCTCGCCCGCTGCTCCCCTCAGCAGTGTACTTGTTGATATGCCTGTTCTGCCCCTTACTCTGTCTTTGGTGAATCCTCTCACTGCCCCTGTCCCTTTGGCATGTATCCCAGTTCTGTATCCATAAAATAAATAAATCTTTAAACAAAGAAGCCAAAGATAGACTACATCATCAGGTGGCAGGTGATTCTTCATTTTCTTCATTTCTTCATTCTTTATCTCTCAAACCTGCATTCTGTTTGAGAGATGTACAAATGCCCCCCCCCCAATTTTATATGGCAACAATCTGATTGATTTTTCTCTGGACAGTATAGAAGCAGGAGGGATAACAAGGGCGGCATAGCTCCTCTATTTGAAGATCTCACCCCTTAATGAAATAAGGGAGAAATGTCAATTAAATATCTGCATGTCCTTCATGGCTGAAAATGATGCCATGAAAACAAATCAACTCTTTTTCAAGGATTATGGCATGATTAATTCTAAATGGAATTGTCTTTACAGTTTCCAAATTTCTCCCAGACTAGCAAAATGTTAAAATGGAAGAAATTAAATTACAGAGTTTCTGATTCCTTAATCTTTATAATGAAGAAACTGAAGCTCACAGAAAAATGTGTTAGAGTGAAAAATTTGGTTTTCACACTCCTACTCCTTTGGATATTTGGTTGCAAATGACTTGATTTCTCTGTTTGAACAAAGTGTTTTTTTTTTTTTTTAGTATTGTCAATTTTGCCTTCAGTATTGTCACGACAATTATGATCAAATGAAAAAGGCATTCTTAAATAAGTAATTACCTCTTATTATATAGTCGCAAGCAGGATTTTAGTCTACATTTTTGTTTTCTGTTAATATAACAAGAGCAAGCAGTCAGGTGAACCGTTTTTGAAAGAGTTTTCACTGCTTACCAGTATGATACAAAACATATAGTAACATAAACTATATACAGGTAACAGAAAAATATATATGCACAGAGAGTGGCATATACATTTGTTTAAGCATCTTATACTGGAATATTTTTCAGAGCATACTGAATCTTGGAGACCTTCATACATGAGTTTAGTATTTAGTGGGCCAAGATAGATTTACCGGGTGTCTACTATTGGTATTTTAACTTACTGTTTTGCAAAAACACATGCTGGGGCAAAGGGGTGGTCTCCATTACGCACTGGGTGTATACATAGTAAAAAATCCATCGAACTGTATGTACACTTAAGTGCACATCACATTTGTGATTTTACAGTTTATAAATTATATCTCATAAAACACAAGTGAAAGCTATAATTCAAAACAAATTACAAAAAACGAAAAACAAAACATATTATCAGTTGATCTTTTATTTATAATTTTAGATTTGCTGTGTATTACTGATTGATATAACAATGGGGTTTAACTCTTGTTTCTTGAGTTATCTTTTTAAAAACGGTTATTTTAAAAAGACCCTGTGATCAGAATACACGACTATAATTATATATGAATATAAAGCCGAGAATGCCTTTCATTTACCCTTTTGCAAGTAAAATGGTGTAGTACTATTTTCTGTTTCTGTCAAGAATATCCTATGATTAAACACATGAGGCCATCTCTAGGCGGAGAGTGGTACACAACGAAAATTTTCCTTTTCATTTCACCTTCCTCCGCGGCGTGATAGTTTTATGAGGTAAAAGCAACTGTGCTCAGCGAGCAAATGGGTAGCTGAACTATCATACATGACCTTTCTCAAAGATGCTATGCTTTTATTTCCCATCCCACAGATTCTCAAATTTATCTATTTTTTCTTCGGATGCCACCTAAGGACAGCTGCTTGACAAACATCTGCCTTGAATATATAATTATAATATGATTAGCTTTTATGCTCTCGTGTCCCTGCGTTACAAATCCTATTTGCAGGACGTAGGCTGCTTTTTCTCTAAACAAGGCGCTGCGTTAGCTCACTCCGCGGTAGGTCTGGGAACCACTCTGTGAAAGAATTCTGCAAAACATCCGGGAAAAGGGGGAAGACTACGACTCCCAGAATGCAGCTGTCCTCCAGCTGCCCAATGGCCAGGCACCTCAGCTGTAGCCTCTCGACTCCATTGGTCAGTATTCCCGTCAGTGACGGCGAGCGGGGAGGGGAGTAACAGAGACCCGAAGGTACATTTCCCGCCACCGCGAAGGCCCTCTCGGAAAACCCGAGGAAGAAGAAAGTGTCGATTGGAGCCTTGTTATTCTGACGCTCGAGGAGTCAGCCTATCAGAATAGGTATGTGCGCCCAGTGATCCCGCCCCTTCCTCAAGGTAATCTTTGGTGGCGGGAAATCTTAGGAAGTTTTCGCGCCAAGGCGGCGCTATCTGAAAGTCGATTGCGCGTGTCTGGGGGAGGCAGTTTCTGGGCGGCGAGCATGGCAGGAACCGTGGTGGTGGACGATTTGGAGCAGCGGGAGGCGCAGAGAGACTATCTGGACTTCTTGGATGACGAGGTGAATGAAGCGCGGTTGGCGAGGCTCTGGAGCGGCTGCTCCTAGGGACGTGCACGCGCGGCCGTCACCCTCCCGGCAGACCCCGGAGCCAGCGGCTTGCCAGGCACCCACACATTGGCGGCCCCGCTGCCTCAGCGGCTCCGGAGGCTTCTGCCCCGATCTTGTAACTTTCTCGCAGTGCAGACAGTCTTTTTTTTTTTTTTTGTAGTAAACCTGTAGAGAGCGTGGCCAGGTCGCAGAAGGTGACAGGTTTCGTCAAATGCAAACAAAATGGCAAAGCCTACCTTGATAATACTCCCCTAAATAGATAAGATAGTTCAGGCACCTTACTCCCTTAGGTCCATACCTGAGAACTCTTTTAAGGTGGTTCTCAAATAAAAAGTTATTTTAATTTGAATATTAAAAGTCTGTTTAGGTTACTTCCTAAGAAGCCTCTTACTGATTTTTCTTTTAAACTTCTTATGAGCTCCATGTAATTCCCCACGAAAGGGCAGAAATGGTTGATCTTAATGGGCATAGCATGGACCTGAGAGACTCACGGTAACTTCTACACTGTCACCTGAGTGTGTGTATGAAATTGGAAGCGAGTGAGTGCAACTATGGGAGAAATCAAATTTCAACTCTGTTGCAGGGATTGATGAATTTATCTTGCTGCAGTGCAGCCTCTGTTTAAAAACATGTTATTGTTTGAATTTGTGTCGGTTGTAATATATGGTGTCTCTTTTACAGGAAGACCAGGGAATTTATCAGAGCAAAGTTCGGGAGCTCATCAGTGACAACCAGTACCGTTTGATTGTCAATGTGAATGACCTGCGCAGGAAAAATGAAAAGAGGGCTAACAGGTGAGTGGCATAGGCTCTCTAGGGGATATCCTGCCTCTTAGTGATAAAGGTGTCCCTCTCTTTTCCCCATATTGGAACAGATTTCCCAGGAGGGGCCTAGAAACCCTCATTGCCTCACCTGTTCTTAGGTTTTTTCCTTCTTCCAAAAGTTTGTAGTGGGGATTTTTGCCTCAGGAGTTCTTTACATTTCTAACTTTGTAAGTTGAATTACAGTTGACTCTCAGTTCTGATTTGTTTTATTGTCTTGTAGAGTGTCAGGAGAAAGTGGGAGATGGATTTTCACTTTGGGGCTTTGATCATCAAAGTATGGTCCACTTTGGTTTTGGGGTCAATTTTTGGAATTTTGCTCTTCATTGCCTAATTATTCTTTTTCTTGCCCATATACAGGCTCCTGAACAATGCCTTTGAGGAACTGGTTGCTTTCCAGGGAGCCTTAAAGGAATTTGTGGCCTCCCTTGATGCTACCTATGCTAAGCAGTATGAGGAGTTCTACATAGGATTAGAGGGTAGTTTTGGCTCCAAGCACGTCTCTCCACGAACTCTTACCTCTTGCTTCCTCAGCTGTGTAGTCTGTGTGGAGGGCATTGTCACTAAATGTGAGTAAGTTAAAGTGTGGGTCAAAGGAAGTGGGTGTGGAGGATTGACTTAGGTGGGATGCGAAAGCAAGAGAAGCAGAATTGAGCTGTGTAGTTGTTGCTTCAGAAAAGCAGAACACTGAAATCATGTGGAAGAAGAACTCTGAGTGTGGACAAAGATTAGGAGGACCTTGGATGACCAGCTGTGCTAGCAGAATGATAAATTCAGCCAAGAATGAAAGAGTCTTGGCTTTTGGCAGTCTCCTTATTTTAATACAGAACAGCTATTGTCCTCCTGGGTCAGTTATAAAAGTTTACCTGGAATTGCTGATGTCCTGTGTAGAAACAAGAAAATGAATAAATGACAAGTGACTCTGAAGCAGCTTAAACTAGTCAGAGTCACATTATTTGGAGTCATTTGCTTGCCTGGGTTAGATACCACCTTTGTTACTGTCTGGCTGGATGAATTTGTGTGCACATTTTCCATTCCTAGGCTCTCTGGTTCGTCCTAAGGTTGTCCGCAGTGTCCACTACTGTCCTGCTACCAAGAAGACGATAGAGCGACGGTACTCTGATCTCACTACCCTGGTGGCCTTTCCCTCGAGCTCTGTCTATCCTACCAAGGTGAGGGGCCTCTTTGGAGACTGGAATTTAAGGTGTCTCTTTTAATGCAAGTGACTGGGCAATACATGAAGTTGTTTTTTTTTTTTTTTCTTAGAAGTAGGGTGAAAAGTGAGAATCTAAAGGAAATATGCCCGCCAAAGTTTAATATGCAAAGTTGCCTTTCTTATTTTTTTTTTAAAGGAATAAATTTTGACTTTAGAAAATGATGGAGGGTTGAAGGAAGTAAAAATTATCTATTCTGTTGATCTTACAACAAAGTTATAATTGTATGTAATTGTACAGTCTACTTAATAAGGAAAATAATGCTATAATATTACTATAAAATCTTTGCAAGTATCTTCCTATGGGTTTCAGAGAAGTATCTATCCTATGGGTAGATATGGGAAGTGGCTTTATTCTTAATGTTCAGATTGATCCAAATAGAGGGTATTACAGGACTTTCTTAATGTGTCAAGATGATTAATACTATAACTTGATGTCTAAACTTACTCTATCAAGGAATACTGCCCCCATCACCAAGTTTTAATTGAGAGACACAATATTTTTAGGCACCCTGGAGGACACTGAATCAAATAGGATCCATTCCTTGTGTTCAGTTTTTTTTTTTTTTTGTTGGTGGAGGAATTGCAACAATTAAAACAAGAAATAATACCTTAAAAGTCTAATTAAGTCATATTTCAGAATCATTTGGTTGACCTCCAGATGAAATGCCCAGTAGTGACAATGCTAAGGACTAGGTCTATTGTCTTTTTTCTTCTGCCAGTTGCTTTTTCTGTCACCCTACTCCATTCTGTTAAAAGTCTTGATTTCTAAAATTTTTTCTCCCACAAGTTCTCAGGAGTTTTCTGCTGACCACTGTGGCCAACCTTCTCCTGAGACCAGACCAGCCCTCCTAGTCTAGTGTGCTCAGAGCACTGGTTTTGGAGTTGAGTCCTGGTGCTACTATTTTTGTGCAACTTTGGGGAGCTTATTCAACCTCTTCTAGTCTGTCTCCTTATTTGTGAAATGTGAAAATGTCTATTTTATTGAATTGTCATGATTACATGAGATAATTTAAAGAAATAGTAACAGTATCTTGTGTGTACGAAGCACTCAGTAAATGATAACTTGGAAAGTGAAACTACAAGGATATTTTTACTCATGTCTACTAGACAGGAAAGCTCACATAAGGGTACAGTTTGATAAAATTTTATAAGTTGATTATACCAGTAAAACAGCCTCTAAATCAGAAAATAAAACTGATACTCAGGTGCTCTTCTTGAGCACTGACTCCCCAAGAGTAACCATATCCTGATGTCCAACAGCACAGATTACTTTTACCTATTTTTATGCTTTACTCTGCTGTTGGCCTTGTTTGTGGAATTCATCCGTGTTGTATATAGATGTATTCATCATTGCTGTAGAGTATTCCCATGTGTACTCACATTTTTTAACTTTTTTGTTGATGGCATTTGGGTATTTTTTTGATTTTGGGCTATTGGGAATCATGCTACCCTGAACACTGGTGTAGAGCTTTGAGTGAATGTTTCTGTTGACTATTATTTAGGATTGGGAATACTGCTACATAGTGTAAGCATATATTTAGCTTTAGTAGGGGAAATATGAATCTTAATTTAGGTGTAAATATAGCTATATCCCTCAGGCTATAGCTTGCCCCTTCCATCAGATTGTCTGGAACAGGTAGGAGTAGAAAAAGCAGATTTTTCTTTTTGTTCTTGTATACTAAAATCTCATGAAGTCATCTTGAGATTATATTTGTTTTTGGGCCTACCTGCAAGTTTAGGGGTTAAGTCCCAGCGCTATCACTTGTCATGGCCTAGTTTGATCTCTAGTCAGGGAGCTACCCTCCTGTGGCACAGCAGACCTCTCCTGTCTCATGTGCTGCTCCCCTCAGCAGTGTATTTCAGTAAATCTGCCTGTTAATGCCCCCCATGCTGTCTCTGAGAAACCTCTCACCCCTGCACTTCTGGCCTGCACCCCGGTTCATCTACACAAACAACAAAGACCAAAAAGCCCATACTTGTTTCCTCCAGCATGGGATGTGACATTTCTGAGACAAACCTGAGCTGAGTTTGCTTTTCTGTATTTCTTTTTCAGGATGAAGAAAACAACCCCCTTGAGACAGAATATGGTCTTTCTGTCTACAAGGATCACCAGACCATCACTATCCAGGAAATGCCAGAGAAGGCTCCAGCTGGCCAGCTTCCCCGCTCTGTGGACGTCATTCTGGATGATGACTTGGTGGATAAAGTAAAACCTGGTGACAGAGTGCAGGTGGTGGGGACCTACCGTTGCTTGCCTGGCAAGAAGGGAGGCTATACCTCGGGGACCTTCAGGTAAGGGTCAGTTATGAAGAGAGGAATGTTGCTGGCACTTTCACTTACGAGTTTTCTTTCTTTGGCTTGCATTTTCCAGAGAGTTATCTTACGCAGGTGGGGTTGTCTACCTGACTGAGAGTTGGGGTACCTCTTTTCTTACAGATGAAACAGAATTTCAGCTTATGTGCAAAGTGGGAGTCACTGGTTACGTGATTATAGACTTATGGCTTCCTTGGGCATTTAATCCAATCTTCTCCCCTACACTTCTGTGTGAAGCTCTAATGAGCCAGAGAGAAATAAATTTCTGAGATGAGGCATCATTAATATATTTAGGTCATAGACTTAAGAATCAGCTTTTCTTTTTTTCTGATTTACTATTCTAGATGACTAGCCTAAAAAACACCTCTGATGCTACAAGTAGACTTCCTCTTCGTCTTCTTTTCCCCAGGACTGTCCTGATTGCCTGTAATGTGAAGCAAATGAGCAAGGACATTCAGCCTTCATTCTCTGCTGAGGATATTGCCAAAATCAAGAAGTTCAGTAAAACCCGTTCCAAGGTCTGGTAATCCTTTAGGGGTTTGGGAGCAGGGATGGGTTTGTAAGGGTTGTTTGTGGGTGGCTGTCTTGGTACTGCATCAGGAGGAAGTCAAGGTTTTTATCTGTGAGGTATCTTCTAACTTATAGTTTGAGTTCAATAAGTAAAAGGATTTTTTTTTTAAAAGCATGGTTTTGTTGTTCTTTAATATTCTGTTGTGCTACCTGCTAGACTGCTAAGTGAGCCTAATGTACTTCAGAGTTAGAATATCAGTGTTTCAAGGAGTTTATACAGAAGACTTCAGTGAATCATTTTTACTTAAGTTTAGAATATTTTTATTTTTTCTCCAACTTTATTTTTTAAGACAGTGTCCACTTTGAAGAAAACTTTTTTCTTCAATGTTATTGATGAGCCAGTTGTTTAAATAAATGTAGCTACGGAGTTGAACTTCTAATTTTCACAGGACAGTCTTTACTTACCATCCAGCAGAGGCCAAGTGAAATTACTATATCCAGTTACCTGCCTTGCTTCCATTCCCTCTGTGAACCAGTTTCTTTTTTTCAGTCTTAAGTGAGGTTGTTTTGTTATTGCATCCATTGTCTTTCACTTCCTGACTTTATTTTACTTAGTATAATTGTCTCAGAATCCATCCATTTTGTCCCAAAAGGCAGTATTTCTTCTTTCTAATCAGTACTATTGCACTGAGTACAAGTACCACAATTTCTTTATCCATTATCTGGTCCACCATGGATGGGCATTTAGGTTCCACACTTGGCTATTATTGCATGTTACTGCTGTGATCATATAGGGGTCCATGAATCTTTTTGTATCAGTCCTTTCATATTTTTTGGGTAAATACCTAGATCTGATATTAACAATTCGTGGTATTTACATTTTTTAAAAAAGATTTATTTATGCATACGGATCTGGGCGTAAGCCAGAGGTGCAGGGGCAGTGAGAGGATTCACCAGAGACAGTGTGTGGAGCAGAACAGGCAGATCAACAAAGTACACCATGAGGGGGGCAGTGGGCAAGACAGGAGAGGTCTGCCGTGCCATGTGGGTCACCTGTGGGGCCGGAGATTGAACCAGTACTGAAGCAGCTGCAGCCAGCTTGTAGAGCCGTGTCCTAGCCCATTGCGCCACCAGGGAGGGCCCGGTATTTCCGTTTTTAAAAAAAGATTATTCATTTTTTAAGATTTATTTATTTATGCATACAAGAACTAGGATGTAAACCAGAGGTGTGGGGGCTGAGAGGATTCACCAGAGAGACAGCGTGGGGAGCAGAACAGGCAGATCTACTGAAATCACTGCTGAAGAGAGCAGCAAAGTGAGACAGGAGAGGTCTGCTGAAACTTAACCCTCATGTCACCAGGGAGGCCCTAGTATTTCATTTTTAATATTTTGAGGCGCCTCCATGCTGTTTTCCATATAGATTATTTCACGTACATTCTTACCAGCAGTAGATGAGTGTTGCTTTTTTTCTGCAGTCATGCTGACATCGAATCTTTTTCATATGGGCCATTCTAGTAGGTGTGAAGTAATAGTTCAATGTTATTTTAATGTGATTTTCTTTATAACGAGTGCTGTTGAACATTTTTCACATAGGTCACCTATATGTCTCCTTTGGAGAAGTGTCTGTAGGTGTTTTGACCATTTTTTTAAGGGGTTGTTTGTTTTGTTTTTGTTGACTTCTTTATTTTGGGAATTAACCCTGCATGGTACATATGTTCCTACAGTCATAGTTTGCCTTTGTGTTTTTGTGGTGGCTTCTCTCACAGCATAAAAACTTGTTGGTTTGATGTAGTGCCATTTGTTTATATTTACTTTTGTTTCTTAGCCTTGAGTTGGGTCCTCAATCTATCTCAGCAGTTGATGTATAGGAATGTTGTTACCTCTACTTTCTCTTATGTATTTCTTAGTGTCAAGTCTTATATCTAAGTCTTTAATCCATATGGAGTTCAATAATGATCTAGTTTCACTTTTTTCAGTGTCTGTCCATGTTCCCCAACCCATTTTTTAACAATTTCCACACTTATAATTGAATAAAAAGTGTATGTATAATAAAGATTTCTGCTGAAGCCCAATATACAATCTTAATAAGCCTAAAATATTTGAACCTGGAAACAGTTTTTAAAGATTAAACCTCTAAGCAAGTTTTAGGATCCTGGCATCCTCTGTACCTGTTCTGATAATGATCTGATAAATATGGTCTGCCTTAGAGAAGAAGCTTTTGCAGTTAGAAAGTGTCTGTATTTATATATTTCTTAAAGCACTTTCTGGAGGTTGAAGTGTACAGTGTACCTCAGCAAAACCTCATTGAACCTCACTAGGCTTGCCCTCCTTTGATTATTCTTCCTGTAGGATATCTTTGACCAGCTGGCCAGGTCGTTGGCCCCTAGTATCCATGGGCACGATTATGTCAAGAAAGCAATTCTTTGTTTACTCTTGGGAGGTGTGGAACGAGACCTTGAAAATGGCAGCCACATCCGTGGAGACATCAATATTCTTCTAATAGGTATGTTGTTGGAAATTTGCTTTAGACTGTTGATCTTGTCTTGTGGAGTAGAGTTGTGGGAATCTGTAATCTGTAAGTTTGTGTACTCTATGTTCAGTCCCATTGAAGGGAAGAAAGCTAAAATTAATCCATTATTATCATTTCTAGATTCCCTGAGTTATGCTAAAATGTATTTCTCCATGAATGATAAAGAGAAATTGAAGAAAATAATACTAATAACCAATACTGTGTTTCTTGTGCCAGAAAAACAGTACTTGCTGGGGCTTGGGAGAATTTTCCTCAGGTCACCACTGTCCCTGTCCATTTTACAGGAGATCCATCTGTTGCCAAGTCTCAGCTACTGCGGTATGTGCTTTGCACTGCGCCCCGGGCAATCCCTACTACTGGCCGGGGCTCCTCTGGAGTGGGTCTGACGGCTGCTGTCACCACAGATCAGGAAACAGGTAAAGGTGCAGGAGTTCTGGCAAAGGACCTGGCAGGTGGCTGACCATACTTCTTTGAGCTTGCTCTCAGTGTGCGCTTGTGTTGGGACAGTTACACTTGAGATATTAGCTTGGGCTACATTGTAGGGGACTGTAGGGCAATAGTGGGTGAACTGCATAAGTGTTTGGTGGCCCTCCATTGACAAGAACATCTAGAAGGTGATTTAAAAGCAGTCGAAGGGGGAGAAATCTTAGCCATTTTTTACTACATTCCCATGTGTGAAATGGGTCGAAATCCTTCCTTTGTCCCCTGCAATCTGGACCATATCACATATTTTTCTTTGCTCATTTCCCAGGGGAACGCCGTCTGGAAGCAGGCGCCATGGTCCTGGCTGACCGAGGTGTGGTTTGCATCGATGAATTTGACAAGATGTCTGACATGGACCGCACGGCTATCCACGAAGTCATGGAGCAGGGCCGAGTCACCATCGCCAAGGCTGGCATCCATGCTCGGCTGAATGCCCGCTGCAGTGTCTTGGCAGCTGCCAACCCTGTCTATGGCAGGGTGAGTGGAATCAACCGTGAACTGTTTTTGTTTTCTTGGTAGCTGTCTAATGTTCCATTTTATGGCTTTATAGTAACTTGTTTTATAAATCTCCACTTGATGGGTGTTTTCCCTCTCTGCTCTGATTAATGAAGTTGTAATATCATCCTTCATGCATATTTACTTACATACATACACACATGTAGATATGCATACATGTGTATACGTGTGTGTACATGTATATACACCTGCATCTATATGTCTATATGATAAATACTTAGCTTTGGAATTACAGGATTAAAGTACATGCATTTTTGTTTAGAGATTGCCAGATTGCCCTCTTTAAAGATTGTATTGTGATAGACTGCTAATACTACTGTCAATACTTTATCAACTTCTATTACCCTCACAGTAACCTTATGAAATAGTTAGCCTCCTATTATAGATGAAGAAATAGAGATTAAATAATTTGGTCAAGAGTCAGAAGCTGAGAAATGGTAGTCAGGATTTGAACCCACAGTCCAACATGTACTCTGGCAATTTATGATTTCATGATATGTGAGAATACTTGTTTTGGTGGCTTTTGTTTTTAATTGAAATAACACTGAATTATATAGGTTTTAAATGTATAGACTTATGTATCAACATCTGGTTGTAGTATATTGTGCTCATCATCAAAAGTCTAGTCTCCATTCAGTGCCATACAACTGATCTCACAGTTTGTGGAAGTAGCTGTGTAGTGGTGTTTTTAAGCATCTGGCTGGGTGCCTGGTCTTCAGTCAGAGTTTCTGAGTCCACATCTCTGGACTGGGAGTTTTGATAGCTATGCTTGAGAAAGGCACCATAGGTTGATTCTAATATGTACCCTCAGTTATGAACCTTAGGTTTTTAGAGTCATGGTAACATGCATTTGCATCATTCTGAAGAATTTAATTGGAAATATAGGGAGAAAATGGCAGGTACTGAAATGGAAGACATCAGAATTGTGAAGGTTACTCTTACTGTGAACTGTTCATGGGTGTAGACATCAGTCCTGTAGGCCCCAAATTGAAAGGTAAAGAGTATGGGTTTTCTTGAGCCTGATGGAAAGAAAGCTTCCTTTATTCATAGAACATTATGATTTATAGATTATTGGCCATTTTTGAGATTTCATTCATTATCTTCTGTATAAGAGATTCAAAAGTTTCTAAGTGCTTCTGACTTAGCCTTTTTGTCTTATTTATACCAGACAGGGAAAAGGAAGTCATATTTGACGGTTTGTCTTGCCTGGGGAATGAGAGGAGCAGAGAAATGGGATAGAGAAGCTATGTCTTAGAGGCTCCTAAGCTAAGGCCACGCTAGGCCTCTTCGCGGCCCCTATGCTAGGAAATGTAACTCTCTTTACCTGGAAGAATGAGCATGGCATTTTAGGTTTGTTCACACTATCTGAGATGCAGTTAGAGAAAGGCTGTAGGTAGAAGAGATTAATTATTTCAATGGCTTTAAAATGCTTCCTCACTGTTTACGTGTTTTTTAAGATCTGACTTTCCGTTCATGCTCCATAATTCATCTGTCTACCTTGTGCTTGCTTTTTATTGATGTTGCCTCCACTTTTCCTTTTTCTTATGTTCCCAGTATGATCAGTACAAGACTCCTATGGAGAACATTGGGCTGCAGGACTCTCTGCTGTCTCGATTTGACTTACTCTTCATCATGCTGGATCAGATGGATCCAGAGCAGGATCGGGAGATCTCGGACCACGTCCTGAGGATGCACCGCTACAGGGCACCCGGAGAGCAGGATGGCGATGGTGAGGCCCACAGGACAGTAGGACTAATGGAAGGGAACCTTCACAGATGACGCTATCCCAGGTGGCAGCTCTTGCGGTGTCTGGGTGGATGCTGAAGATGCGCTGGCCTGCCTGGCCACTGGGGGTTTTGTCCACCTCTGGGCCCAGGAACACCTTTGACAGCTTCAAGGGGCCAGATAGTTGCCTTCCTTATTTGTGGATTCTGCATGTCTGTTTCCTTCTGGATCCTTGTTTTGTGGGTTATTGATCTCTTCCCTTCCTGTGCTATGGAAGAAGCAATTTCCCCTGAGTCAAGCTCTTGCTCACTCTCCTCTCTCCCAACTCGTGTTTTCTAGCCATGCCTTTGGGTAGTGCAGTGGATGTCCTGGCCACAGATGATCCCAATTTTGACCAGGAAGACCAGCAGGACACCCAGATTTATGACAAACATGACAACCTTCTACATGGGAACAAGAAGAAAAAGTGAGTATTGCCCAGACCTCTCCTCTGAGGGCCCTAGAATTTGTATCATGACACACCATGTGCATACCTGAAGTCAGGGCTTCCTGGGTCATAACCCTGGGGCTTCTTTCCTGGATCCACAGGTAGACCTTTTGCCCAGCCACTTGCCTAATACTAGTTTGTGGCCGATTAAGGTTAGGTTTGATCTTTTCCTAAAAGGCTTTGCTGACATACCTTACTGATGATGGATGAAGGATTGCATAAGTCTATTTGTAATGGCTGTGTGAAGGGCCAGCAGGTAGCAAGCACTAGAGGCTTTGCAGGTGGAGATGAATAAAGGAGGTTTGTGATTGGGTGCTCAAAGCATGAAATGGGGGATCCTGTGCCTCTGGTGTTGACCCTAGTCAGTAGGGAGCAGAGCATAATCTTCATGCTGGTCATTTGAGAACATGGGATTTGGAGTCAGAAAGGTGAATTAAGTTACTTAAAATCCTCTGAGCCACACTTGCCCCGCCTATAAAATGGGAAATATAATACCTAAATTTTGCACCTTACAATTAATATCTATAGAATTAAATACAGGTATGTGAAAAGGCCTCTGTACATGGTCCATGTAAATAGGACTTATGATAATGAGTTGTAGGTTGTATGTCTGCTCTGTCACGTGGCCTTGACTACTCTGAGGAGCATAGTCACTACCGCCATCAGCCCTGATGAGTGGAATTCACTGTGTGGCCCAGGGAGAAGATGGTGAGTGCAGCTTTCATGCGGAAGTACATCCATGTGGCCAAAATCATCAAGCCCATCCTGACGCAGGAGTCAGCTGCCTACATCGCGGAAGAGTACTCGCGCCTGCGCAGCCAGGACAGCATGAGCTCAGACACCGCCCGGGTGAGCCCCTGGGGGAGCGGCAGGGACGTCCTTGGAGTGAAAGGCTCAGAGGAGCTCTTGCTGTCTGGGTGTGCCGACAGCCTTTTACTGTAGTGTGGCCTTAGACGAATAACCTGCAGCTCTTTAAGGTCCATTTTCCTCAGCTATAAAGCTGCTCCAGTTTTATAAGAATATTAAATGGCCCTCCCTGGTGGCGCAGCGGGTTAAAGCGCAGCACTAAGAATCTAAAGCCGCTTCCACATGAGTTCAATCTCTGCCCCGGAGGTGACCACATGGCGTGGCAGACCTCTCCTGACCCGCCCGCTGCTCCCCTCAGCAATGTACTTCGTAGATCTGCCTGTTCTGCTCCTCACTCTGTCTCTGGTGAAGCCTCTCACTGCTCCTGAGCCTCTGGCCTGTACCCCAGTTCTGTATGAATAAATAAATAAATGTTAAAAAAAAAATTTAAGAATATTAAATGACACGTTGAGACTCACTTATAAAAGCAAAGTACTCTGTGGGCCTGTAAGAAAGGATGGTTTTTCTTACTATACTCATATCCTTTATCTGATGCCTCATTTTCTTTCTGTTGCTGCCTCCTTCAGTACACAGATATTGCTCTGATCATTTTTATCTTTCTGAATTTTATGTGGCGTTATTGAGAATATAGAGTGCTGAATCAGTACTTGGACTTTATAGAGCTTTTCTGGTAGTCTTTTCCCTTCCGTGTGCATTGGAAATGATGGACATGCCTATGGAATTCTGGGTTGTAATCCTTCCCTGTTTTCTGCCCTAGACATCTCCAGTGACAGCCCGGACATTGGAAACTTTGATTCGATTGGCCACTGCCCACGCCAAGGCCCGCATGAGCAAGACCGTGGACCTGCAGGATGCAGAGGAGGCAGTGGAGTTGGTCCAGTATGCTTATTTCAAGAAGGTGAGGATTCAGATGCTGGTGTGAGAGGCTCTTCCGAATGAATCCTTGGTGCTCGGCCTTCACAGCCCTCTGTGGCTGACACCTGCCTTTGAGTGTCAGGGGAAAGTGGCATCTTCTGCTGGTGGTCAGCCTCTCCTTTCTCTGCGTATAGTACCAGTGGTCCTCAGCCCTGCTGCGTGTGAGAACCAGTTGGAAAGCTCTACAGGCCACAGCCCTGACAGACCTCAGGGACTGTGGCTTACCTGTGTGCTGCACCTTCAGTCAGCTGTTCCTGTCTGCCTCTGTGTCCTTTACCTCTTAACAACAAGAACAACAAAAAAACAGGTGTTTCACAGGTTGACCTCGATAATCTTACTCTCTTCTGCGTCTTTCCTGGAGCAGTCTCTTCAGGTGTCCCATCAACACCTCAAAAGCTCATACTAAAGATTGAGTTCTCATGCTTACCTGTCATCCTCTTTTCCTGTTTCTATGTATGTGTGACATTGTGTCTTTCACTTTAGATACTGGCCTGGAGGCTCTGCTTTCCTTTTCCTGTAGCCCACCCCTATCCCTCATCCTTTGGGGTTTAGTTGTTGGTCTGATAAGCTTCTCCTTGCATTGATTGTTTCTTTGTCTTAAATTTAAATATCAGATTTATATAGAAATGAATTATTTTCCACTTAGCCACTGTAGACTTTAAAATAAATTCATGACTTTATTCAGTAAATACTCTTGGAGAAAGCATTGAACATACCTGCCAGCATGATGAGATGGGTAGCAGCCTGGCCTCTGGATCCTGGTTCTGGGACTTGGGGACAGGAGAGGCCACATGAGCCAGACCTGTGGCAGCCATTTGTGCTGATGGTGTGGGAGGGGCTCCTTAGTCTTATTCAGCTCTTCGACATCATTGATGCCTCCCACCCACCCAGCTTGGTTTGGTCGTAGGTTCTAGAGAAAGAAAAGAAACGTAAGAAGCGAGATGAGGATGAATCAGAGACAGAAGAAGAAGAGGAGGAGAAAAGCCAGGAGGAACAACAAGAGCAGAGAAAGAAAAGGTAGGTGGGCAAAGAGAAATGAGAGTACAGAAACTCCAGTTCAGACTGGAAGGTTGTAGGCGCTGCAGGTGGGTGTCAGGTTCAGAGGGAGGGTGCTGAGACCTGCAGTTTGGGCAGGAAGACAACCTGGCCAAAGGAGAGCGTGAGCTTATCTGTTGATGGTGCTTTTGACATCTTTCCTGCTGAAGAAATGCTAAGTAGCAGGAATTTTAACCCAGTTAGAAATTTCTGAATATATATTTCAAAATTGTTTCCCGAAGATTAGTTTTTCCTTTTGGGCTGGGGTTGAATTCTAAGAGTGAGTGATAGAGGGAGAAGCCTTGGGAAGCAAGGCCTGTCTGTGTCCTAGCCTAGAGATCATAGAAGTTGTTTTCAGAAAACTGATCTGGCCAGGCCTGGGCCTCTTGTTTCACTTTGATTATATATAGATGGTCCTAGTTCTCTTCTATGGCTAGAGGCCTAGGATTGGGCTCCTAACTGCTGTGGGGATTTTAGGAGGAAGACTCGACACTCCGATGACAAGGATGGAGACCCCTATGACCCCTACGACTTCAGTGACACTGAGAAGGAAATGCCTCAAGGTGAGTGAGCACTCCCGCTGATGAAGAGGTGGTTTCTGTAACTCCCAGCCTTCTTAGTAGCCCTGGGAGCTGCTTTGGGGCTCCCACTTGGCTCCCTGTTTGGAGACCTGTGTCTAAGGTTTTTCCCATCTTGAAATTAGCAGTAAGAATTTTTGAAAATCAGCATGGCTCAGTTGTTTGCTCCCTCCTGGATGAACTGTGCTCTTTGCCAGGCCTAGTATAAGCGTCTCAGATAACATTGATCTCCTGCCTGACTCAATTCTTACATTGTCCTTCCATCCTGATTATCCTGTCTGGCCCCCTCAGAACCCTTCAGGGAAAAAAAAGAATGTTCAGCAATCTCAGGGAGGGATGGGGAGTGGAGAAAATCATTTCTCTGTTATTTTGGAAGTGGCTTAACCTGTTTTCTTCCCACTCTCTGTAACGTTTTGACCTCTAAAGTGCACACGCCAAAGCCAGCAGATTCCCAGGAGACCAAGGAATCCCAGGAGGTGGAGTTGAGTGAGTCCAGGTGAGTAGGGACGTGGCCTCCTTGTGTTGCTGAGGCCAGGACTTCTTCCCGGGGAGGGAGAAGGTGACTGGCTGACTATCAACAACTCAAAACTGGCGGCCTGAGGATTTTTATATCTTTTTATATTCTGATTATAATTTTAAACTTAAAAAGCATTTGTGAAAATGGTGAAGAACTCGTGTGTGTCCTTTATCCAGAATCCCATGTGTTTACATTTTATCATTTGCTTTATAAATACTTCTTTCTCTGGGAATTTGAAATATGATGTTCGTTCAAGGACAGGAAGAGTCTTAAGAGAAAAGATGAAATATATACATTTTACTCTAACTTTGGGTTCTTGTCACTACGATATATAAATATTTTAAAATATTTTTACTTTAGAGTTTTCAGAAAGTTCTGTCTATAAATTTTATTTACTGCACCCAGAGAGACTCCATGCCTGGGGTTTCCTTTTCTTTTTTTCTTTTAATACCTAAAATACACATATAATATGCTTTGTCTACTGAAGAAAATTTGAAAGCACTTAAAAGTATTTCAGAAAAAAAAACAGACATTCAAATCAACTCACATTGTACCCCCTAGAGGCAACCAGTGACTGCATGGAACACTGCAGAGTTCCATAATGTGGATATGTAAAATTTTGTGTTTTCGATTGAGGAACATTGAAGTTCCATAAAACTACTGTTTACAGCAAAACTTTCTTCTTTTTATCACTGTGCACTCACCCAAGGTTAATTTCCAGAAATGGACTTCCTGAGTCAAAGGCTATGTACTTTAAAACATATAAATGCTGCCCAGTTTACATTTTTACCACCAGTGTATGTGAGCACCAATTTCCCACACTTGCACAGGTCTCTGATTTGTTGCAGGAAGCTCTGTAATAAAAGTTTCTCTTTAAAAGGGGCGATTTGGGTGTGGAGCAGCCATCAGGGGCAGGGGTGGAGGGAGTATTGCAGCATTTTCCCAACATGAATCTTGCCTGAGAGCATCTGGGTTTGCTTTACTTCTTCATGGGCAGGTTGAAGGCATTCAAGGCGGCCCTGTTAGAAGTGTTCCGGGAAGCTCATGCCCAGTCTGTGGGCATGAATCTCCTCACAGCATCCATCAACCAGGACAAAGAAGAGCCTTTCTCTTCAGCAGAGATCCAGGCTGCACTGAGCAGGATGCAGGATGACAACCAGGTCATGGTGTCTGAAGGCATCATCTTCCTCATCTGAGGATCTCTGGGGTTCTGCCGAGAAGTTTCCCGCATGTTTCTGCTCCCACCACCACGACCCCCTTGCTTTCATTGGCCGGATAACAAGTGTTTAATTGAACTGAAGTTGAATCATGAGGAAGCTGAATCAGAAGTTGGCTGAAGTTTTGGCATTGGGTAATGAAAGCTGCCATGAGGTAGAAAGAGAACATGGAGAAGGACTAAGACTGGCATTTTCAGCAAAAGACTGGACCACTTGTCACCCAGAATCATCAAACCATTGTTTTTGCTATAAAAAACATAGAATGTCTGAGTATCCTTTTTTTTTCTTTTTTGCACAGCTGCTTTCTGTATTTGCTACCTGTTTTTGTTCTCTGCTCTTTGGCCTAAAGCAAGCAAGCACTGTGGGGTTGATACTGCTGGAGAGAAGCTCTGCAGCTGGTCATGAAGGCTGAGGAAGCTTGCTTTTGCAGCAGCACCAGTTAAGACTTATAAGTACTTTTGACCTAACTATCCCAGACATTGAATAAACTTAGCCCATTTTTATGAAACGCACATGGCCTTAATACTGTATGCTTCTAGGGACACATTTAATTTTGTTTTCCTTGAAAGTTCTGCCATACAAGATTTGCTACTCCCGCTTTTGCACCAAGTCACCATAAGGTGGCAGCAGACTGCCATGCTCGCTGTGGGAGCTAGGGCTTCTCTTCAGGCAGTGCTTTCCTTAGTGGCATCAGCATTTATCAGTTAAAATGGTGCAAACCAAACACTGCTGAATTGAAGTAACTAGTAACTACACGGCTACAGAAGGCCAGTTAGTGAAAGTCCAGAAAGAATGGGCCTCCTTCCTGCTGACTATTCTGAGTCAGAATCCAAAGTCTTCCTGGAGAAGTAATACCCTGTAGAGCTATACCTTACTACTGTGAAGATTCCCTTACGTGCTCCTGTGAGACCACTTACACTTGGGTATCCAGCCCAAGGGTTTTAGTAGTCTGTTTGCAAAGAAGTTTGTAAAAGGGGCGGAGTCAATATAGCTACTATTCTGTGGTCTGGATAGCTTCTGAAGAACCTTCAGGTAGCTTAAGCAAAAGGGAGAACAAAAGCCTTGTGACTTTATGGGGGGCTTGGATCACGTGGATTAGAATCACTTTAAGGAGGAGAGGTGGTTCTCAGCTACAAGATTGGTAAGGTACTTCTATTTTCCTTTGTAGCCCCTCAACCTGAAGCCATGAGGCAGGAGATTTTCTTTAGTTTTTCATGGCTTCAAGTTGTTTTTTTTTTTAATTTACATTTTTATGCATACAGAACTGGGGTACCGATCAGAAGTGCAGGGGTGGTGAGAAGATTCACCAGAGACAGTGGGAAGCAGACAGGCAGATCAACAAAAACACACTGGTAAGGGGAGCAATGGACAGGTCAGGAGAGGTCTGCCGTGCCATGTGGGTCACCTTTTGGCCAGGGATTGAACTAATTGAAATCATGATGAAGTGGCTTTAGCTTCTTAGTGTTGTGCTTCAACCCACTGTACCATCAGGGAGGGCCTGAGTTTTTTAAATTTTTTTTTTAATGGAAGGCAAAATTGGGGATATTGGCTTTATGATTTATTTTCATAGATGTGAAAATCAAATCCAATTGGATGTGGGACTTGAGCAGTGCTCCAGGGGAGGCTCTTGGCATTAGCCAAGTTGTGATAATGAGACTGGCCAGCTAGGTACAGCAGTGGGTACAAAAATAGGACTTCTTGCTCTTGAGACCTACAAAGCTGAGAATATATATATTTAATGTGCTAGTGAAAATTCTAAAATGTGAACCATCATATCCAAGTGGAGACAGAGTATGAGCTGTAAAAATTGAGGGGGCTGTGGAAGTTTCAAGGGGAGGGCAGCAGCTACTGGTGGGATACTGGTGTGAACAGAAGCTAGGGATCGTCAGGGTTTTCCTTGATGTGTTGGAGAAAAGCCAACCACTTGTCAGTGGGACTCTGGTTCTTCAGTTTTGAAGAAACAGGCATAGTAGGAGAGTAGGTGTATCCAGTGCTTGGAAAACCCATAATGCCAAGTTTACCTTGTTGATAGTTCAGTTTTCTGCAGGTGAACACGTGAAGGTCAAGTGTGGTATATTCAGCAATTAAATAGATTGTATTAAAATAACTTCATCTTAGAGAAGCTCATTAAAATCTCAGGTGTATAGTTTCCCATGATTATAGCAGCATAAAAAGTTGCTAAGGACTTACAGCATAGGTTTTTTTTCATTGTCCCTTGTTCCTCTTTGTTGCTGTTAGAACCTAGGAGAGGCTGGTGAAACAGGGACTTGCCCACCCACAGGTCATGTGCCCAGAAACCATCACCGCTGCTCCACAGTGCCAAGACAGCGGTGAGGACTCAGTCTTACCAAATGAGGAGTCTGCATTTCCGTTTGCCATCTGATCTGAAGTAGTTGGTGGGTCTCAGAGGAGTAAATTGCATCTTGAGAAATTACGCTACTTTATTCCTTAACTGCTGTGTAAGCAAAGTGTCACTAAGAAAGGCAACTTTCAAAAAAGACATTGGGGTAGGTGGTGGTGGAATGGAGACAGTCAACCATAATTGTGGGTATCAAGCAGCTCATTACTTCCTCTCTCAAATGGGAATGACACTGCCTGGTACAGTGCCTGTGAGGCAGCAAATTAAGTGCCTGCTGGCATGGATCTACTCCATGACTCCCGTTTTTACTGCAAATTCTAAGTTTCACTATGTGATTCATTTTGATATGTGTTTAAAAAATGATCCTTTGTTCAAAACCTCTTTGAGTTCCCGAACCCTGTACCTGTTTTATCTTTGGTGGTTCCTTTCCTTTGGTCAGTGTGGCTCTGACAAAAGTGCTTCTCAGGGAGGACTCTTTGCTTTCTGCTTGTAGCAAGAGGGTTTTTGGCTCACCAAGGACTGGAATCTGCCCACTAAGGGCATTTACCTGAATCCTCACAACAGCCTTGTGAGGTAGGTCATTAGAAAAACTTGGAGGAAAACCATAAAGGGGCAGGCTAATAGAACAGAGAACCAATAAGCCTGTTCCTTCTCATTTTTCTTGCGTTTTCAAACTATGCTGTTTTCTTAAATGATTTAGACTTCTGAGATGATGCGAACCCAAAGGATTTGGTTAGTGGAATAAAGCAGATGTGAGTCATCTGTATGCTGACTGCATCAGCTACTTGTCAGCTCTGAGTTCTCCCCTGCCCCTGCTATCTCCTCTGTCCTCTCCAGGGCTAGCTGTCAGTTCTCGTTACAGAAGGGAAGTGAAGAGGGCCAGCATTTTGCACTGGACATGTAGGAAGTTCTCTAGACAAAAGTTGGCAGAGTAAGTATTCTACCTGGGACACAGAGCACTGTGTTCAAATTCCTTTTCTGACCATATATGACTGGGCTAATGTGCCCTCCTGGGCAAGCCACTTCCTTAGAGGGAGGTGCTTGGTTTCTTTTTTTGCAAAAGGAAGAGGTTGACCTAGGTGATCTCTGAGGTCTCTTCTGGTAATAGGTATGACTCTTCATCCACTGTCATTTCTACACACAAGACTGGTTTGCCCTGGCACCACCTGGGGGCAGGTTAGACCGGTATTGTATCATGTTAGATAAACCTCGGAGGGTGGAAATGCTCTGCTCTATTTTGTGAGTAGAACTCGGTATTTCAGTTACCTCAAGGGATTTTGTTTAATTCCTAAAAAAAATTGTAGAGCAACATTAATTTTTGTTTAATTCTATTTTAATTTGCTAAGATAGAAACCTAGTTCACTTTCTTTTTTCAGGTCTGATGCCTCCATGATGAGAGCTGGTTTCAGTATAGTCCATTATTAACCAGCATGTAATCCCAGCTCATTCTCTTCCTTCTTTCCCCAAGGGAGAGAATTGAGATTCTAAATTCTTTTGCTAAATATTTTTACTATTAAATCCTGAGTATTTTCCCACAGCCTGTAGGAGGATATTAGCCTCTGCTGAGATTTACCATTCGGATAATAGTTCTCCCAGCAGGTTCTTTTTGTAGCAAACTAAGCCCTCTTACCTTTAAGCACCAACATTTAACCTTGCAATGGAAAGGTCAGCTATGCCTTCTTGCATATGTGTGCTGCTTTTCTATTAATTTAGGTGAAGGTAGCTATAATAAAGCCAGATAACATCTCTAAGAACATCGCCAAAAGTTAGAAATTAACAATATGCTTGTTCTGTTTTTTTTTTTTTTTTAAGTCTTTCTCTAATAAGACCAATAAAACATAACATGGGCTGTTTAGGGAAAACAGAACAAAAATCATCTTACCTCTAACTTAACCATATCTTTTTTTTTTTTGAGTTTAAAACCAGGTTTAAAACTGACACCTGTGGTATCAGCAAATTACAGATTATACATTTGAGACATTAATAAGCGATGATCTGCAGGGATTAGGGACTAAGATTGATTTTGAGACTGAGCTTAAAGTCAGGTTTCTAAAAATCCTACTGCAGCAGAAATGTAAGTATTTGCATGTCCTGTTTAACCGTAATGGTTAATTAAAACTAAGCAAATTAAAATTAACATAAAGACGCATACATATGTTTGCACATAAGCATGTGCAAAGATCCCAAGCAAACTTTGACTTCCAGAAGCAGCTTCTTCATGTTCTTCATGATGTGGGCAGTTGAATAGGGACAGCCCCACTAAATAGCTTACTGTAGGCTGTGCACTATAGAAGTCATCTCATCAAGTCTTCCTTCCAATTCTATGAGGTTACTTCATTACCCCAATTTTACAGAAGAGGAAATAAGCTTAAAGAGATTAGATAATTTGTCCAGGGTTTCATAGTAGATGAAGAAGTTATTAAAACAGACAGTACAGGTGTTATAAACTATTTCACCCTTAAGAAGTGGGCAATCTCGATGTAGAGAATTACCAAACAGGTGGAAGGCAAAAACAAGAGGATAAACAAAGAAGTAAGAGAAAAGTAGAAAATATCTGACTGGCTGGGACACAGAGCAAACTTGTTTGGGGCATGAAGGCCCAGAATTGGCTGGATGGATGTGTTTCTGGACAAGTAGAGCATTTATACCATCATGAAATTTACCTAAGTTTAGCTTTGCTGATGCAGCATCCTGGGCAGAAGGGGCACCATCTTGGGCCTAGAAAGCTAGTCAATAGCTAGAGGGTGGCCTCCTGGTTCAGACTTGGAGCCCTCTAGACTCTTCACTAGTGTATTCTCACTCTACTGTGCTACTCCCATAAAAGGCTTCAAAAGATGGGTACCCTGGAGATCTGGGGGTGGTCGGAGCTCCATTTGCAAATGTGTGTTAGGCATGTCTATTGGTGCCAGTGGCAGAGATGAAACCCCAGGCCTTCCATAGCAGGTATTGCTCTCTGTGCAGCCTCAGGGGCTTGCCTTCGAGCAGAGGGGTCTATGTGGCGATGACTAGAGCTGCTCTTCCTGATTATCCCACAGCACCAGAGCTGTGGTAGTGCATAATTCACAGGGAATGCTACCCTTCTGGAACCAGTTAATAATTTTACAATTAAAACAGTAGAAATCAA